TCCTGTTTTCCCCCTTTCCCTCCTGTTTTCCCCCTTTCCCTCCTGTTCCCTCCTGTTTTTCCCCTTTCCCTCCTGTTCCCTCCTGTTTTTCCCCTCTTCCCCCTTTCCCTCCTTTTTTCCCCCCCTCCCCCCTTTCCCTCCTGTTCCCTCACCCATGTCCCCCCCCACCTCAAACTCCGTGAATGATTCCTGACGGTCCATCAAGCAGCCATTTTCCCGTCTGAAGTTACTTATTTAGAGGAAAGGAATCGCTTATCAAACTCAGTCTTTCTTTACTTTTGGCCCACAGATTCATCTCCTGGGGGGTTGCTCACTACATTGTCCGGGATTGGGGTGTGGTGGGGGGGGGATTGATTTGCAGTTCCTGGAGGAATCAGCAGCACCCATTCCTGGCACAAGTGGCTGTTGTTGATGTGAAGTCATTGGCAGGGACCGTTCCCTGAGCTCTCTCCACCTCCCTCCTCCACCTCTTTCCTCAAGCCCTAACCATGGGGGCTACAATCGTGGGGAGCTGTGTTAGCACAGGCCGCGTTTCCCACTCTTTACGTTTCCACATCTGAGACTTTCCATCTCAGCCAGTGGTCCAACCATTCAGAAGTTTCTTCAGAGTAAGCAGGACAATGAATGTTGCGATACCTTTCACTGGTCTGTAGCAGAAATCTCAGCCTTCCACCCACCAGCACCTGCCTCCTCCATCCCTAACTTGCTGTCAAAATTACTGAGGGTAGCAGGTCACCAGGTGAAGTGGGGAAGATATACACTGGAAAGCAGGGGTGTCATCGTACCATCTATTCATGATCTCTCTAACTCACAGAGAATGCGACTCTAGCAGGTCGCACAGTTCAGGCTTAAAGCTACAGATTGGCATTTATTAAGAAGTAAGATTATACAAACTGAAACAACAAATGATAGCACTTCACTTGACCTCGTGCCATCCATTTTTGAGACAATGCAAAGATTACAGCCCTCTGGAAAATGCTTAGGTCAGGAATTCATGAAAGCTTTCATGTGAAAGATGTTAGTTATCACACAGAGTACCACATTCGCGCTGAATTGTGTGTCAGTGCAGTACTATTAAGAGGATTACAGAATGTGGATGATAAAACACTTGTGTGCCTCTTTGCTTTGATGTCAAGCTGGAATTATCCAAGGTAAGTGAGTAGTTTAGACAATTGAATTGTGAATAGTTTCTTGCTGTGACAGACTTGTTGACTGAGTCAATTTTCAAATTCCTGGATTAAAACAAAGCTGCCACATTACGTGAAACTGTTTTCTCCATATATTTAATCTCTTGGTTTAATCTGCGTTCATTGGAATCTCGGTGGGTTACAAAGCGGTAGCCTGGCATGATTTATTATTTGTGCGTTCTAATCTGGGCTAAGCTACCGACAGGAGGAAAGGTGAGTCGGCCCTCGCGTTACGCACCGGATACAGTCGTGCATTCCTCAAATTCAGGTTCTATTCCAGAAATAGTCACACAAATCATTTTAAAAACAGCTCCCACTACTGTTTTGAAGCCTCGCACAGCAGCTCAAGTTGTTAAGAAACCGTCTTTCCTGCTGCCCTTTTCAGTCGCCTTTCCCCACTTGGTTTTTCCATGTCAACTGTCACAAGTAGTCCTACACTCTGGCCACCAGGTGTCCCAGGACCCAGGAGTCTTTTCCTTTCTCTCTGTCTTTCTCTCCCTCTTTCTCTCTAAATCCATTCTCCATCTTCTGTTTTTTCTTTGTATTCATTTGTGGGAAGTGGGCGTCGTTGGCTGGTCAACATTTATTGCCTGTCCCTAGTTGCCCCCTTGAGAAGGTGGGGGTGAGCTGCCTTCTTGAGCCGCTGCAGTCCATGTGCTGTGGGTTGACCCACAATGCCCTTTAGGGAGGGAATTCCAGGATTTTGTCCCAGTGACACTGAAGGAACGGCGATATATTTCCAAGTCAGGATGGTGAGTGGCTTGGAGGAGAACTTGCAGGGGGTGGTGTTCCCATGTATCTGCTGCCGTTGTCCTTCTAGATGGAAGTGGTCGTGGGTTTGGAAGGTGCTGTCTGAGGATCTTTGGTGAATTTCTGCAGTGCATCTTGTAGATGGTACACACTGCTGAGACTGAGCGTCGGTGGTGAAAATCATGAGGGGCATGGATAGGGTGAACAGCCAAGGTCTTTGCCCCAGGGTGGGGGGAGTTCAAAACCAGAGGGCATAGGTTTAAGGTGAGAGGGGAAAGGTTTAAAAGGGATCTAAGGGGCAACATTTTCATGCAGAGGGTGGTGCGTGTATGTAATGAGCTGCCAGAGGAAGTGGTGGAGGCAGGTACAATTACAACATATAAAAGGCATCTGGATGGGTATATGAATGGGAAGAATTTGGAGGGATATGGTCCAAATGGGACTAGATTAATTTAGGATATCTGGTCAGCATGGACGAGATGGACCAAAGGCTCTGTTTCCATATAGTATAACTCTATGACTGTAAAGTGGAGGGAGAGGATGTTTGTGGATGTGATGCTTTGTCCTGGATGGTGTGGAGCTTCTTGAATGTTGTTGGAGCTGCACCCATCCAGGGCAAGTGGGGAGTATTCCATCACACTCCTGACTTGTGCCTTGTAGATGGTGGGCAGGCTTTGGGGAGTCAGGAGGGGAGTTACTCACCGCAGTGTCCTAGCCTCTGACCTGCTGTTGTAGTCACTGTATTTATATTGTGAGTCCAGTTGACTTTGTGGTCCATAGTAACCTCAAGGATGTTGATTGTGAAGGGTTCAGTGATGGTAACACGGTTGAATGTCAAGGGGCAGTGGTTAGTTTGTCTGTCTGTTATTGAATCCAATCATTGCCTGGCATTTGTGTGGTGTGAATGTTACTTGTCAGCTCAAGCTTGGTTATTGTCCAGATCTTGTTGCATTTGAACATGGACTGCTTCAATATCTGAGGAGTCGTGAATGGTGCTAAACGTTGTGAAATCATCAGTGAACTTCCAAAATCCTGGTGTTATGGTGGAGGAGAAGTCATCGATGAAGCAGCTGAAGATGGTTGGGCCTAGGACACTCCCCTGAGGGACTCCTGCAGAGACGTCGTGGAGCTGAGATGACTGACCTCCAACACCACGACTGTCTATCTTTGTGCCAGGTGTGGTCCAAACCAGTGGAGAGTTTTCCCCCTGATTCCCATTGATTCCAGTTTTGCCAGGGTTTCTTGATGCCACACTCGGTCAAATGCAGTCTTGATGTCACTCCCCTCTGGAATTCGGCTGTGTTGTCCATGTTTGAACCAAGGCTGGAATGAGGTCAGGAGCTGGGTGACCCTGTTGGAACCCGGTGTGCGTGTGCGTTGTGTTATTATTGAAATTAAAACTGCAGGCTGGACTCTAATTGAGGAGTTTTGATAAGAGCATAGGAGCAGAAGTAGGCCTTTCGGCCCATCGAGGCTGTTGTGCAATTTAATGGTATCCTGGCTGACCTGATAATCCTTAACTCCACTGTCTCAATGATACCCCCGGATTCCGTTTGATGATCCCTGCCCCATTCCCTGGGGAATGAGGATTGCCCTGTGTAGTCGTTTCTAAAGCCCCCAGATAAAGTGTCATAGAAGCACAGAATCCCTACAGTGCAGATAGAGGCC